TCCCACATTAATGCCTGCCTCATCCACACCACAAAGATTTCGATATTGTGTTATTCTGCATTCGCAGTTCCAGATATTATATCCTCCGGTGGTAAGTTATGATACCAAAAAATTATTACTTCCTGACAAACTCATACCGCAGAACAAAGTCCTACAATAGCACTGGCAACAACATACTGAAACGAACTATGTCATCATAATTATTTAAATAAGAAAATACTATCACCAGGCGTCTATTAATTGGTGGACGATTTGTAGGGCGCATAATTATTTACTTAAAACACATGAAAAAAAGTATATGAATGTGTGACCAGATGTGAATTAAACTTGAATATTGTGTGATTGTTGTGTAGCATGAGTTTTTCGTATGGGTTATAAATAAATAATCACACGTCCTTCAAATCTTCCGCTAATTTATGTAAATTCTGCATATTTTGAAATTATTGCGTATAAGCTATTCTACAGTGCTCCAAACCCACATTAAATTCGCGATGCCATATGTTACAGATCCTTAACAGAGATATTTATTTTGTTACTTTCATGTAAAGTGTCTATTTTGCAACGAACTCAACACACCCCAGTGTCCTCCTCGCTCCAGTTTATCATTGTTCCAGAGCGATAAATTACTGAACTGTGAATGAACAGCCAATCGCAATACAACTAAATTAATTTTTGTGGAGATGGTAATGAGCGAAGGCGTGCGCGGACAAGTGGATGGCTTTTTATGTACAAGAGGTAAGGTTTCTAGCCGCTTTAACCACTAGGAAAATTAGGCAGTTGTCTAGGGCGAAAATATTAATAAATTGAGGGCGAGGAACGCTGATAGTTTCTGCCCAGTTGGCCAAATATACTTGCGCCAGGCTTGGGTTAGGTGGACATGTAAATAATCGATATATATATATATAATTTTTGCTTGACGTAAATTCTTCTTCTATAGGACATACAAGCACAATTTAATGGTATGTAAGACTTGAGGTTCTCACAGCGGTGAGTATGAAGATTTCTGTCTTCTGGGTTG